GACTTCGATTTTCCATTTGCATTGTTCTTTCTAGTTGGTCTTATCAAATTCCATGTCTTTCATTATTAGGGGTGCCATGATTAATCCAAAATTTATATTTTCAGCTCCAACTTACAGATTTTACTTCTGAACCCGATCTCCATACTGGTCTTACAGAGCTAGCCCCACATTTTCCCATTTGGAAGCTGAATAGGCATCTCTGTCTTAGCAGATCCAAAACTAAACTCTTGATATTTTTCCCTGCAATTTATTCCTCCCACAATCTCCCTGACAGTAAGTGACAACTGTTTTCTATTAGTTATTCAGTCTTCAAAGCTTGGGGTCATCCTTGAGTTGTTGTTTTTTTCTAACACACCATATCCTGTCCTTTAGCCAATCCTGTCAATTCTATTTTCAAATATATACCCTGAGTCTAATCCCTTTAAACAATGGTCATTGCTCCCATGTTATTTCGAGCTACCATTATATCTTATGAAGATTTTGCACAAACCTTTTACACAGTTTCCCTATAACCATTCTTGCTCTATTGCGGACTAATTCCCATATTGTAGCTGAAGATGCTACAACATAATAGTTACAATGTGTAACTCAAAGATGCTTTAAAGTATAAGTTAGATCACATTCTCTTGTGTCAAAAGGCTTCATATCGTTTTCCATCTAAAGTACTAAGTTCTTGGTGCCCTACATGGTCTGGCCATACAGTACCTCTCTAGCCCCTACTCAGAATATGCAGACACTTGCCCACCCTGCTCTAGACACTCCCCTTCTTGCTCTTTTTTAACTTCACCAAGCATGCCCATCTCAAAGCCTTTGCATGTGTAGCTCTCTTTGTCAGGGAAACTCTTTTCTGGGGTTGCCACATGGCCTCTTCTTCACTTCATTTAGCTCTCTGCTTCAATTTCATTTCTTAGAGGAGCTTTTCTCTGACCACCTATGCTCTCTATCCATTATCCTGTTTTATTTTTATATTTTATATCACTTATCAATAATATAGCAATAGTTTATATAGATCTGCTTATTGTCGGATGCCTCCCCTTTGCAGGCCTAGAAGGTAAAAATCCATACAGGCAGCAACTTGATCAGTTCTATTTGATACCTTTTACTATCGAACCCAAAATACTTGGAACATAGTAGGTGCTCAGTAAATATTTGAATAAATTAATAAATAAATGAATATGAAGCTCAGTTTTAGAAGATGAATGAAAGTCTCATATGTGGAAACTCTGAGCCCCTGTGAGGAAAAACAAGTCATCTGCATGTACCTAGTATCAAATTAACTAAAGAATGACTCCTGAGTTATAAAACAAACTCAGGATGGGCAGAAAAATAATAATGAACCAAGGCTATTAATGTAGCCACAGAAGACCAAAAAAATACAGCAGGATCCAGCTTGGCATTTGTGTGCAATATTAGCCCATATTTCTCTTTGTCAGAAAGAGAAGACATCCACATAAAGCAAATGTGATTAAAACAAATGTTGACAACTGGTTATAAATTAAATTAGTGGTCTTCTCATTGGTTTATGCTTGTATAAGGAAAGGACATTAAGCTGGAGTTAAATGGGGCCATTTTGGGTGGTTTTTAAAAATTATTATAAGTCTAGATTTCTCCTTCTGATATCTTTTCTAGAGAAAATAAGTATGTCTAAAATCATCTTTTCTAAACCTAAATACATAATATACAATTAGACAAACAAATTTACTTATGGAGACACTAGAACAAAATAAAACATTGGTGCAGGCTTTAAAAATGCAGGATATAGGGGTACAGAATATATGAGTCAAATGACATTGGGGATATTAAGAAGATGAATGGTCACAAAAAAGAGCATGCAGGTGCAGTATAGAAGGAAGTGGGGTGGTCAAAAATAAGGTGACTGAAGAGCAGAACACCACAAGTGACATACTCAGCTATAGGAATAAATTCTAATGAGGATGAATGGTTTGAATCTGGAGCATAATAGAGCGATGTTCACTACATTAAAGAAATTCATGTGGGAAGATGGGAATAGAAATAGAGGTTTACCAAAAGAATCAGGCTTCTTTCTTTTACACCCAACTAATTTTGAATTATGCAGTTTTGACACCTTGTTACCTGTAATTATTTAAAGGACTAGTTTAACCAATGCCATTGAAAGATAAATATCTGCCAAATGCAACTCACTGATGCTCAACATCACATTCCACCTCACCATCTTATTGAGATGTGCTTTTTGTGTCTCCCAGCTTTGTGTGTCCAAGGCTCTGCACATATGTGAGTGAGCACGCCCACACTAGCAGTCAACAAAGAAGAATGGAGATTAAAGACTTGAGGATAACATATACCTTAAATGTTTTCATAAAGGAATGATAAAATTCTAACCTCAGTTGAAGAATGAAATAAGTAAGATTGTAGGATCTTTGAAATTTACATCTAAAGAATCCAAACCTTTCATTTACTATATGAAAAACTCAGACAAAGGGGCAAAAGACTACATATAACTTGCCCCATAAAGCATATGAAGATACTGGAAAAGCTGAGATGAAAACTCAGATTTCCTAGCCCTGTAGAGTGTTATTCCTTTCATTTCACTAGTTCCCAGTCTTGGTAGCTTTACTTTACAAACAAACAAAACACAGCACAACAAACTCTCCCTTGACAGAGCAAATATTTTAAATAAGTATATTCTTATAGGTCTATTATTATGTTTCATAACCTAGCAGAAAAGTTTCTTTTAGAATACTTTAAGGGTTTGAATTACAGGAATACTGAAAAATAACCATTCACCGGGCTACCTAACTTCTGCATGTACACTGTCCAGGGTTGATTTACGATATAAAAACTCGCTGAGAGAGGAGAGTGTGAAAAGTGTGTGTTGCAGCGACTGGCTTTTCCCTCATTGTAGCTTCCAGTGCTTTTATTATTTCTTTAAAGAATGGAAACACCACTCTGCTTTCATAGAGTTTATGTTACAATTCAGCATCACTAGAGACAAGTTTTCTCCTTATTTGTATGAAATGTAAATTTTGATGTATTATAGAGTTTTCCTGATAAATCTTTCCATTCTCTAATTAAATTACCACCAGTGTTAGAAAAAACCCTAGTAGGCTTTAAAGCATCTAATTTGTCAGTCTTGAATGAGTCATGTTTCTTTATTATTATTATTGTTGTTGTTAAATTTATTGAGGTGTCACTGGTTAATAAGATCACATAAGTTTCAAGTGTACATTTCTGGGATACATGATCTGTATATTGCATTGTGGGCCCACCACCCACAGTCAAATCATCTTCCATCACTATCTATTTGGCCCCCTTTACCCTTTACTACCCACCACCTCCGTTTCCTCTGGTAACCACCATAACATTGTCTGTGTCTATGAGTTTCAGTTTTATATCCCACAAATGAGTGACATCACATGGAATGAGTCACATTCCATCTGTGATTCATGCTGTAAGATTCTTATGAATCTTATATTATTATTTCAAGTCAAGAGACTGAGCTTAAAGAACATAACAAGTGTAAATGTTTTTAATCTAGACTCATCCTTGTGACTGGTAAAAAAAAATTGTATAGTTCTTTGGGAAAAAGAAAAGCACTTTTTAGTAACAAGATGAACATGCATTTAAAAATGATTTACAAAATCCAGGAAGACTTTCAATTTCTTGAAGCCAAAGGCCATTTCCTATGCATCACTGAATCCACTACACTTAACACACCAGCTTGACCACTAAAACGCACTGATACTTATTGAGGATTTACTATGTGCTATTAGCTTTAGGTACGTTCTATTAAACTAAAAAAACAATCCTTTGAAGATGTTATCATTATTATCCTCATTTTATACAATAAGAAACTGAGGTTCAATGAGATGAACTAACTTAATAGGGTCATAAGGAAGTTGGGTTTCCAGATAAAGAAGTGTGGCCTCAGGACCTACAACATGAATCCACTTTTCAGAGTTGTTCTCAGAAAAGTTTTGTTAAGGTGAAAACAAAAAGGGCCTGAGTCACCTACAAGGCTTTGTGACCATATTCCTGTGTCTTTTTCATCTAACAATAAAACTATGCTTTAGAACTGATTTTAACCTGGGAAGTGAAAAGCAATTGCTTCACAGCTAACGCTCTCCTGCTCATGTCAGTTCACCACCTAGAGGCCATTTTTCCAGCTCATTCTCCAAATCGCTACATGTAGGGACTTATATCACATCTGACAGAACTCTTTTGCAGTTCCACAGTTGTCCCCACTATCATCTCTTTTCTGATAAGCTCCATCAGTTCTGTTGCTAAGCCATCACTCACTTTTCTTCCAAGATTTGATCTTCTTGTTTGCAAACACACACACACACACACACACACACACACACACACACACACTCTCATGTACCATTTTCTAGACCATGTCTGTCTGGGAAGAAACTTACAAGAAGGTAGAATCTTGACCGGGGATGCTCATTAATTATTTTCACCGGAGATGAGCTCATTTTTAAGTGGCAGCAGGAAGATTTTAGTTTATATAGAGGTGGGAAAATGGAGTACATTTCAGCAAAAACTTTGAAATGACCTCATAAAATTTAATAAAGAAGTTCTTTGAGATCAGAACATATCAGAGATTCTCGGAATTTTCATCCTATGGTGTTCACTCTTTATCACTAACAACTGAGGATGCCCATAAATATAAACTATAAAATTCTGTTTGAAAATGTTAAAGGTTTTGGATATCCTTAAGTCTGTACTCCATAATCCCTGATCTATCATTTTTATTGTAATTTTAGAAAATTACAATATTGTGCAAGTTAAAATACTTGACAGCATTCAATTTCCTGACCTAAATGGGAAAGCGGTCAGCCCATAACTTCCTGGAAGGCACAATGAGGTAAAGCTGACCCACCCCGAGTAAAGTCTTACAGAATCACAACAGACACACCAACGCAAATTTAAAACAGATTTCCACCCGAGAATTCAAGACATACTACCTGCCCCGAACAAGCAAGAATCCGATTACCACAAGGATGGATAGTTACCCATGGCGAAGAATGGGATTCCCAGCAAGGTGGAGTTGTACTTCCCATCAGTGATGAAGAAGATCCCTGCGGCCGTGACGATGGAGATGCACACGGTGAGCACCCCCAGGAGGCCCAGGAAGGGCTTGCTGCGCAAACAGTCCTTCATGGAGCTGGAGAGGGTGGCTGTGGTCAAGATCAGCACGAGGCTCACCAGGACCTTGCTCCTGGCCAGGATGCTGGTCTTATGAAAGTCTCTCCAGAGGCTAAAGGATACTAAAGAGTAGAGCTGGAGGTCCTGGTGCTCACCCTGGAGCTTCCTCATAAGCTTACAGAACTCATTCTCCCACTTCTCCCCTATGAGGTCCTGGGTGGCAGAGCCATAGGTCTGGAGGTAGTAGGTGATTTGAATGGCTCTGGCTGACTTGACCCGTTGGTCCTTGCTGTTTGGCACTTCCACTACCCCGCCTAGTTGGTGTCCAATAAAACTGTTCCTCCCATCCTTGAAAACAGAAAAAAGGGAGACTTAAGTTACAAGGCAGATGCACATTCCAGAGAACAGATTCTTACTCTTAAGTGAAGGGGCACAAGGAAGGCAGCAATTGTGGAGCTGATGTGGGTGGAGTGACATGTTAGGATTTTATATTCAACCTTTTGGAGCCACATGGGATACCATGCAAGATGATCAGGATTAGGAAAGATGCAAAGAGTGTCATGAAGCTGTACAAGTCTTGCCACATGCATAGGAAATGTACGTAAATATTACTTTGATCTCATTCCCACCACTGCCTTCTGTGGCAATCTATTCTAACTCCTAAATGTGGGATCAAGTTTTATGATTCAGTTCCAGCCAAAAGTGAAGCATGGCCTGAGTTAACATTTCAAAAGTTAAACTAATTATTCATTTAATAAATGTGTGCTAAACTTTCCAGGGTTAACACACACACCTACACCAAATACACACAAACACACACAAACATTATAAACATCCATACTCATCCTTTCCATTGTGGGGATACAACTGCATATGGCAGAACAAGTAGAAGGAATTATTGTTTTTGCTTTTACAGTTAATTTTATAGTGTTAAAATGTTTTTGAAACGTAATGTGAGCACCTAGTCATTCATTATAATTTCCCCTCCAAACACTTGCCTCAGTCTTACGTTGACCTCTTTCCCATAGAATGCAGTGGACGAACTCCCTAAATGAGACGATAAAATTTCAGGTGGGGTTGTTAAAAGGCATCTCAACTTCAGAATTTCACATAAGTAGACAAGACCATAAGAGTAGGATATTTATAAGAAAAGCAATCCCTCCTGTTTAAGGCACTCCTGAGGTGGACATTGATCTGTCTAAACAGGTTGATAGCAGTAATTTTCATCCAGTGTGCCTTAACACTTAAAACAAAATCCCTGACAGCCATCACCAAATTTTAATCAATTAGGTATTGTTTGTTTGTTTCTGGGTTTTTTGTTTGTTTATTTTTTGGCCACACTCATTTACTCCAGTGCTAATGGTTGTCAGATGAAATATTGAACGCAACAGCAGGTTGCAAGATGGAATATAGCATTGAAAATGTGCTGCAGGTACTGAGTGGGACACAGGAATGAAGGTAAATATATGCCATAAATAGACTGTGTTTGTTAGATCAGGCAAGCCATTTATCTCATGGGGGTATAAAAGAGGAGAGTCAGAGCAGAAAACAGTTCTTTCCAGAAAGAAGTGCAGGAAGGCAACAAGCCAACAGTGTGATAACCGTGGTTGTTTACACCAAACTGTGAGGTTTTATATACTCATGTAGACATGTGTAACAATTATTGTGGACTTGTTTAGTCCAGACATCTATATCTGAGGTCCTTGTTTGCATTTTTAACATGCACCAAAAGCAACATTAATACTTGAGAGTGTGTGGCAAAAAGAAAAGTTTGAGAAAGTTACAGAGAGTAAAAATGTTGTTACTTGGAGAATCAAGAGAGAAGGAAATTTCATAGTGACCCCACATACCCATATTCTCCCTACATGTTCAATAAAAGCAACCTTTCTATTTAACTCAACCTGGCCAACTGTAAGTAAACAATGTATTTCTAAATAAGAATTTGATTTAAGGGGCTTTTTTTCCTTTACTTAGTTTATCTTCCACTTCCAAGTCACCTTTTTTCCTTATAAAAATCAAACTAAAAATCCAGCTGTAGGTTCACAGGGCTCTCTCCCCATGAAACCCTGTGGGTCCTCCGATGAGCTGAAAGTAAAAGGGTGGAAAAGCCTTGAAAAAGGTGTGAGAATCCTGACTCAGGACTGAGAGACTGTGAAATATGGTTTCCAGCCTATCAGTCCAGGACACACAGCTCCTCAATTAGGCTTGTTTACTTTTGTTTTAAGCTTGGTATAATTTTAAGTTCCAGTCTTGTTTCCACTTCTTTGAAATCCCATCTGTGATGTTGAGTTGTGCTTTTGATTATTTGAAAGACAGAGTATTTTAAAAGCTATATGTATTCACTTGAAAATGTACAGTTCCATGTGTCTTTACTCATTTCCATAATCAAAAAGATTTCTCAGGGATCTTTAGCAGAGGAACAAAGATTTATGCATCCCTCAGGCCTCATTTGGAGATTATAGTGGATCAAAAAGGGGGCTGATAATGTGTCTGGAGAAAAGTACAAATTTAAAGAAGGCAAATATAGATTATTAAATAACTGATCTTCACTGGCTCTGGCTAACTGTTCACCCCCCTTTTGAGGTGGTATAATTTTCATTTTCTACAAAAATTATTTAATAAAAAAATATGGTTTCATTCCATTATATTCAAATCAAAGTGACAATGGAATGAGTTGCTCTCTTAATCTGCTTTACATGAACCAGAACAAAATAAGCAGGGTCTGTGGAGGTCCTTGAATTGAAAGCTCTATTAAACAGTCCACATCAGAGATGAGCTGTTGGCCCAATCATCCTGCTAAGTACAGCCCTGAGAAATACACTTTTTACATTATTTGTAAGGGGAATTCTACTATTTTGTAAGGGGTGGTAGAAGTGTTCTTCAGTTTCCCAAACAAGTTCATAGGCACCTCTATGTAGGAGAAACAAGGAAAAAATATAACATATGTTGTAATTATCCTCTGGACTTGTAAGAAGTTAGGTGTGATTAATGGAGACAATACATAATCAGGAGTCATGTGACCTGGGCTGCTGTGTGCATCTCATACTAATTAGACAAGAAACCCTTGTCTGGTTCATGTCCCCTTCTAGGGTTCAGTTTTCTTATCTATAAGATGAGTACATATGAGTATAGGAGTAAAGGTTTATATGATATTGAAGACATTTTCAGCTCTATTATTCTATGAAAATACTGTCTATAAAGCTTTGAAGAGATCTAAATGTCAGAATGATATCACTATAAGTAATAGAGCCATAAATTGATTATTTCTATATCTATTCCACTCACTGGGTAGAACTGTTTGTTTAATTAATAGCAAACCTGGAGGCTCAGTCCGAGAGGGCAAATCTGCCAGTCAAAGGGTTCTAACACAGGCTTCCAACTCAACTGAGACCTCAATTCCAGTATTTTCTAGAATCCTATGGGGGTGACTTCAGGGAAACAACACTGGCTCCCATTCTCCATAAACCGCTCTTGATTATTAAAACTATCTTACATGTAGATGCCCTTTTCCCAATATTTTCCTCTCCATTAAACCAACTAGCAACCATTTAACACAGGTTCATTCATTTTCCTCCTTTCCCAGTAAAACCTCCTACACAAATTCTGAAATCCTCTTAAGTGCAGAAATCACTTTTATGTCTCAATGAAGATAAATCTTAAAATAAAAATATGACAGGATGGTAACAGATTACTTTCAATGCTCTCCTGTTTCAGTGTTTCGCTGAATTGAACTGTCATCATTAAGATGAGATAAATTGAAACCCCTAAGTCATCGTTACGTCCATTTCCGTTCCTCCTCAATGTGCTCTCCACATTAAAACCAGAATATATTTGCCCAGTTCTAAATGAGATCACATCATTTCTGCACTTAAAACCTTCTACCGGCTTCCACTTAAACCAGGAATAGAGTAAGAACCTCCTACCAGGCCCCCAAGGCCCTGCCTGGCTCACTGCTCGCTGAGCCCTCAGCCCTCTCCTCCTGCTCCTCCCCTCGTGAACTCGGCGCCAGCTCTCCTGGCCTTTCTTCCTACTCCCTGAACTTACTCTTCCCCTCATGGCCTTTGTACCACCCCTTCCCTCTGCCTGGAACGCTTTTCTCTATTCTTATGGCCTGGGCTACTTTCTTATGGAGATATTAACTTCAAAGAGGCTATTTGAATCACAGGGTCTAAACTAGACACTTCCTTCCCGGCAATTACTCTATCGTAATTTTATCTTCTTCCTACTAATCTTTTCTACCTGAAGTGATCTTTATGTAACCATTTAACATTCCTTTTCTGTCTCCTCCCTGAGAATGTGTGCTCATTGCAACCTGGCACCTTTCACATCTGGCTCACTGATAAGCTCCCTGTGCCTAGAACAAAGCCTGATATATAATAAACGCTTCATAATATTTATCTCAATGAGTTCACTCTGAGGGGTAGTAACTAATCATACTTTATTTTTTAGAGATTACTTTGCTAAGAACGGTAGAAGTAAGAGACACAAAGTGTCTGAGGACAGTAGGACCTCAGATGAAGAGAGGTATATATAGACATTAGAGATTGATATAGAAGAAAATGGACTTTATTCTTCTTTTAATCTGCTTAGTCTAGTGAAATATTTCCCCCAAATATGTTGTCTCTTCCATTTCCACTGCACACCAATAATGTGCAACACACTAGTCAAGAGTAGGGGGACTTAAGAGTAGCTAGAAAAAGGATTTGTATGCACTATGGTTGAGGCAAAATACAGCTCAAGATGTTCAAGGAACTACAAGAAGTGACGGGTTTGATTAGAGAAGAAAGCAAGGCCTCTTCTGTAAGGGCCGTGAAAGCCTGGCTGAGTTGGACTTAACTGTCCTGCGGCAGGAAGCCACTGGTGAGTTTTAAGCAGACGTATCACATGCTCTACTTTCGGGAGAGCTCGTTCTCATTGCACTGTGGATCATGATTTAGAGAATCGGGTGACTCTAAAGGAAAGAGCTCAGTTTAAAAGTCCCTGCAGTATTTCTGGTTCTTGATGCAGCATGAATAAAATGTCAGCTGAGTCAGTCTCTGGTAGGTAAATTGTCCCAAGGTGAATCAATGGAAGTATAGGTCACGACGCTGTCTCACGGCTGTGAAGCATCTCATCACATCATCTCTCCAAGAGCAGTAATGCCAGGAAAAAATAAATCTTGGGCTCTTTAGGTCTTTTTTCATTTACAGTTACTACTTTTAGTTTATAGTTACTACTCTGCAGCTCTAAAAATTACTCTCACCCAAACTACACCTCTAGTGTGGAAAAGAAAATTAAACTCTCAGAGATATGAGCAAATAATAAATTCTTAAAGAGATACAAGAGGAAAGAGACATTAATGTTATAAA